CGGCAAAAAAGTCTATTAACTGGCAGTTGACTTCTGGCTTCAAACTATCATGACCCCACTGTATGTCATATTCGACCCCTTCCACAGTACTCATCTTTCCTTTTCACTGCCTTTTTGTCTGTCACTGTTACATCTGTGAATCATTATTCTGTCCCCCCCCCCTCTCGACTCTTTTCACTTTGATATTCCCCATCCTCTCTGTGAAGCCATAAGTCAGCTAAATGGCTAATGATAACTATCAAAACGCCTGGGATTTGAAATAAATAAATAAATGATTCATTCTATGATTGACCAGCTGTATAAATCAAGAGGGGCTGACCTTGGAGCATCAAATCACTCATGATAGATGGAGGCTTACATTTATAAAATGGCGAAAATAAGGTAGCCAAACACTTCAATTTAGCAGAGCTTTATAATTAAAATAAATATAACACAATAAAAATGACGACTGTGAATAGGAATTCCATTTTAAAAGATGTGCAAAAATAAAAACGTGTTTTCTCATTACGGTAGACAGTTCTGAAACTAGTTGTTCGACTGCAAGGATGGAGTTGAACAAGTGCAGAATTACACGCTCCAATAGCTGTTATGCTTACCACAAATCCACAGGTTCCACAACTGAGTCAACAGGTCAATTGCTGTGAAGAATTGGACTTTGAACAAAATCATCTGTCATTTTGCATTTTGTAAAAGAATTTTGTCGAATAATAATTTAAATAGATTTTTTCAAATGTTAGTTTGTATTTAAAAGCGTCTTAGTTAACAATCACAAAAGCGCTTAAAACGGGTTTTTTACCTATTTTATTTTTTTAAAAAGGTGATCTGACATCAATATTGTTACCAGCAAATCTAATTATGGGGTAAACCCCCAAATATAACAAGTACAGAAATTTATCCCTCATCAACAATAATAAGAAGTGTGTATAACGACAACCAATAAAAGTAACTAAGAAGGTACGATTGAAGCCGCCCTACAATCTCAAACTATTAAAGAATAAGAAACATAAAATGAAATGAATGAAGTACATTTCTGGACTTTTCTTTTACTGTTCTTACGTGTTCATAGATAGGAATGGAGTTCCTTCGATGTCATATTAATAGCTAATCAAAAGCCCATAAATTCAAAATCTCAAAACGACCCATACTGTTATACTTTCTAAATAAACAAACTTCATAAATAAATAAACAAACTCCATAAATAAACAAATAAACAAACTTCATCGCAACTAATGGTTTCCCCAAACGTAAAATCAAGCTACTGTATCTGCATTAATTTCTAAAAAAAAGCAAAAAGCATGGGATAACAAGGAAATCAGAATGGGCTAGTGAAATTAACTCAATAACGCGCTCTTGTGAGAAGCCCACACTCTATCACCTTTCCTCTCCTTGACCAGGACACTAACAGTCGCACTAAGGACCTCACAGAACACATAAACAACTGCAGAAACGGCGTAACACTTCACTCAAGGCTTGCTCAATTACGCTACAGTTCGTAAATTTTCTTAGAAACTAAGTGAAATAAATTCAAGCTTAAAGTCAGAAGAACCGATATCATTGGGCTTCCCCTTCTCCATCATTTTAAAGCAATACTAAGGGACACATCTACCTCATTTTAAACATAACCTCTTAGCGACCATTAAGGGATAAAAAAGTTTAAAAATTTACCTAGCACTTTCTCGCACCATGGGATGACGGCTCATTCCAAGATAATCATTCGAACACCACACGTTGACAATCTGACGCTGTCCAGTGGAGAAGTCCTCTGCAAAAGGATAATGATCGGCATCGCGAAGAATTCGACGGAAAACTCGATACGTCGATGTGGAGCGTTTCTTATCTATTTGCTCTTCAAAGAAGGCGTTGTAATTAAAGCTGATAGGTGAGGTTTTTACTAAGGAAGGGCGAGGGGAAACTGTGGATACGCAGGGAGACAGAACACAGGCAGAAGTCGAAGATGGACCTAGTGATACAAAAAACAGCCAGTTGAAGGTGAGATTTGTAATATATTGAGGACCATGATGAAAAAATCGCACTCCGTTGGGGTAAATTAGTATTCAAAAGAAGAGGAAGTTGGAATTGAAAAAAAGAAATGTGGAATGCTCACCATTTTTCACTATTTTATTAGAAAGAGAATTTCCCTCATTTTTCGACGATTTAGGACATTGATCAATTATGCACTGTTCAATTCCATCTTATAGTAAAACAAGTAATGGGTTAGTAAATTAGATCAAATATAGAAGTACAGAAGCTTCGGGATATACTTACCACAGATGGGAGGAAACGGATTTTTTTCAAAGGTGTTCGAGGTACCATGAGACCTGCGGAAAATTGAGCAAGTACCCGAGAACGAGTATAGTTTTTTTAAAGGAAACAATGGTCCTTTGATAACATAAAAATTCTTCAAAAGCATACTTCGAGAGAAATCACAAGGAAGACTAAAAATCAAAATTCAATATTTGAATAAAAATCTTATTCTAATTTGAAATATAGAAGTCAAACGATAAATAACAAGAATTTATTAGGAAATGTGACCAACTTGATAAAATTATTAAATCACCTAAAGAAAAAACACGAAGCTTCAATCTGTTTAATGCGGGTCTTGAACATAGGTTTTCTCAAGGTTTGATTCAGTCAATAAATTTAAAGAAAAGCACTTTGAATAGTAAATGTATTCAGTGGTACTGATTATTGTTCAAAAGATAATTTATTATTTTTTGGAAATTTTTCATAGCTATTGGAAATTCAGTTAACTCATATAGCTAAATATATGATTATATGTTATATATGGTCTTGGTTACATAACCTTCCAAAGTCTGATATAACTCGGTTGTTCTCACCAGAGTTTATTCTCGAAAAATAGTAGTGGACATTTTTATGCATTTCGATGGTATATTCCAGCTATTTTCATTTCCAAAGGTGTTCATCCCAGTATTAATAACCTAGCAACTATTTTTGCACTCCTTTTATAGATACAATTTTTTGTTATAAATTGATAAATTTAAATACAACAATTATTTTGCAAAATAAACATTATCACAAGGAAAACACTGCACATTGCACTATTATTTATTTACTGAATAATTATTGACTCTATTTCAAACCAAACAGTTTCAATAAAGCTTTTTCGACAACTGCGAAGTTGAGAGACCTCAGTATTTATCCAGTAAGCCATTATGAAAAAGAGTACCCAATCCGTGTTTCGGGAAAATATTATTAAGTTCCATTTACGTGGTTGCATTTCCATGTTGTTTGTACTTTCATAATAAAGAGATATTTATATTGCTAATAATAATTATATAAATGCCAATTAGTACAACGAAAAATTGCGCTGATATCTAAGCTTAATTAATACAACTGAAATAAAACCGGAAGAGCTAAAATCATGCAATGGGCCCGAATTTATTTATAAAGGACAGAGTAGATACAGATTTGCAATAGTTGATCATGTTGCTAAATTGAAATATAAATACGATTTTCGATCTATAGCAAAGTCTTAAGGTTGCATTTCGTTCATTGCTAATTGAACTAATTGTTATTTATTCTGCACCATCGAATGTTAATTGAGAGGTCTTACAATTCTTAGGTTTAGGTGGTGAGATTAATTTATTCACTGCGATATACTTTTTTGCCCTTTCATATTTTCGCTTTCTTAAATTCATAGATGTTTCATAAAAGAAGATTTTAAAGAAAAAAATTAAAGTGCCATATAAGCTTCTTTATTCAGTAAATTAGATATTAGTATAACTTTACACATTAAATTTGTGTCATATTTCTTAGAGTTGTTAATCTGACAATTGTTTAGCATGCGCCTAAAGCGATTCGTTAAAGCCTGATATTAAATATTAAATAGAACAAAGCCAATTACAATATAGATCATAAAATTGACAAATGTTTAAATCACGGTTACTCCTAGAGTTTTTAGCGAAACGGCCTTTTCCAGCCTATAGAATAACAGCTTCGAAGAGTGGGCTTCATGCGTAAGTTCATTTTTTGGTTTTATTTGTTCGTTGAGTCTAACGAGCCTTTTTTGGAATCAAACTGTTTAATTTGATCAATATTTTTTTCATAAAGAATTTTAAATGATTATTATTATATTTGTGCTTAATTTTTCTTTTGCAGTTTGTAAGTCATATATCCTTTAAGGTTACTGGTCTGTGCTTGAGAATCGTTCTATACTAATTAATAGACGAATTTATTTTTACATTAGTTAGACGCAATGTTCGAAGAGTGTGGTACTGATACTTCGAAACTTGCCGCTGGTCTTTCACGCTTAAATATCGAAGGTAATATTAAATTTAATTTTGTATTTCAATAGAAAAAAAGGAACCTCTCCTTGTTGATAAGGAAACAGGAATTACATTTCGCCAATACCAGTCCGAAATCGATCTCGATAAAATCGTGTCCTTAATTACCAAAACTCTTTCAGAACCCTATTCCTTATATACCTATCGATATTTCATTTACAATTGGCCCGATCTTTGTCTATTGGTACCTAAATTGCTTATCAGTTATTTGACATTTTAAGGCGATAGATGAACATGGAACCACCGTAGGAACCATCGTTTGTAAATTAGATTATCATGTTGGCGTCAAGCGTGGGTACATTGCAATGTTGGCAGTTGAAAAGGAATGCCGAAGGAAAGGCATCGGGTCAAAGTTGGTTCAACTTGCGCTCGACATTATGATTGAACAGAATGCTCAGGAGGTATATCTTCATTGTTTTTCCTTTTTTGAATCTATGCTTATAAATCGATTTTTTGGTTTTATAGGTTGTTCTTGAAGCAGAAGTTGATAATAAGCCAGCGTTAGGTTTATATGAGCAGCTTGGGTTTTGTCGGGATAAATATCTATTCAGATATTACCTCACTGGAAAAGACGCTTTCCGATTAAAACTTTGGGTCGAGCCCCAGCTGCTCACTCCTGAATCTCCCTAATCTCCTTCTGTACAGACAACTTTTTTCTATGTTGACTAAAAGCATTCTATGTTCTTTTGATGCATTAAGTCTATCATTTTTCTCAAGTTCTTTTCGGGAATTCAGGATTTGATATTAGACGATATTTCTATTTTATTGCTTTTAATAATTTGGCTCTTTAGAAATAGCACGTTAGGTCACTACTTTTGAAATTCTTATATGCTGTTATAAACACTGTGAGTAAGCCCTGACTAAACCAAACAATTCGACCATAAATTTGTTTTCGATATCATTTTTGCTGTGCTATTAGAATCGAGCGTACAAAGTCTATTGAATGGCCAGCTATACTGTGTAATCCGTAAACAAATGCATTTAATTCAATTCTGATTGAATATCAGCCCACGATCTCCAGCATAGGGCTCTGTACACGCAAGCGTAGTTGCTCACCAAGCGACCGATAGCACTTTGGACGCCCCAGAATGTTCTAGACCTCGAGGCTACTGAGGTATTCTGATTTGCTGTTGAACATTTCAACACATGGATGAGTCTTATATCACGGCAACTGACATTATTCCTTAACCGGAGGCATATTGTATCGCGAAATATTTATAACGAATGACAGACTTTATGGTAGTTATCATTAGCACTTTAGTTTACTTCGGGCTTCACAGATTGAGGGGGGGGGGGGCGAATCATAGTCACAAAAGTCTAGAGGTGGAACAGGATCGTTATTCAGGGGTGTAAAAAAGACAGAGGCAGAGAAAAGGTAAGATGAGTAGCGTGTAGTGGTCGGATATGGTGGGGCCATTGCAGTTTGAGATCAGAAGTCAAATGCCGGCTTATAGACTTTTTTGCCGTATGAGTATACATTGCCCAGGGTGCACCATATGGAGGTAAGTCTATCGCGAAATATTATTGCTTTTAAATTATGGGGAAGAATAGACAGTTAAGGAAACTCCCACGGGAGATTTTGTGCACAATTTTTCCTGATTTCGTAGAATCGATTTAGCAGCAAAATTTAGCTGACCAATTATGTCTGATTCTAGTATGCTTTGTGTCAATGAGAGGTGCAGTTATTACGAACATTGAAATCCTAAAATCATGTGAACGTTCGAAAGTCCTGAACAATTTTTTTACAACAATGGGAATCCTAGTGAGTTGTGCAAGCACACGTTGTTAGTTTCATCTTCGGCTTCGGTTTTACGAAGAGACGAATGAATGCACGACCGAATGCTTGGTTAATTAACTTTTTTAACTGGTTCTAAGTATCACACCATGAAATTTATTTATTTCAAATGACAGGCATTTTGATAGTTATCATTAGCCCTTCAGTTGACTTCGGGCTTTACAGAAGGGAGGAACATCTTAGCCCTTTAGCTGACTTCGGGCTTCACAGAGAGGAGGAACATCAATATTTATACTAAAAGGGAGGCGTTTTGATAGTTATCATCAAAAAGTGAGAAAAATTCGACAGGGGAAAAGAAGAGCGATTCAGGGATGTGAAAGACAAACATGGGGTAATGACAGTTTGAAGTCAGATGTCAACCACTAATTAATAGACTTGTTTTGCCGTATGAGTATACGTTGCCCATAGTGCACCACGTGGAGGTAAGTCTATCGCACACTCCAAGAAGTCAGCAACACCGGGTATTCCCAGCCGGTCACCCATGCAAGTACTAACTCGGCCCGACCTAGTTTAACTTCGGTGATCGGACGAGAACCGGTGCTTTCTACGTGGTATGGTATGGTATCACACCATGATATCGAATTTCCTAATGACTAAGTGCTTTGGAAATGCCTCTACCAGAAAACCGCTACTCCCTCTATATGCTCTGCTTCCTCGATATCGTTGAGGAAATACTTCAAACTGCGGGACTTTGCCATGGGGATTACTGAAGATTTTGGTAAGACTTATTGGTGTGGCATCCTCAGCATGTCTTCATATATATATGCTAAACTCTCTATTCACTTTAATCCTTATTGGAATGTTTTGCAGTTTCGAGATTTTCGATTAAAACTGGCTCAATTTTTTTTGCCGTGGCGTGGATAACACTGATTAAATATTTTCCACAGGTTATGGCTAGTCTTCTGCTTAATCTATTGGGCATCTCGGCTACCCCACCCCTGTTGCATTTATGACTGTGTTGCTGCTAGTTGTGAATTGAATTACCTTTGTTCATTTTAAGGATATCTTAATGAAACAAAAGAAACTTAAAGTCTTGCAATCATTCGATGGGCATGCATGTGTCGCCCAAATATGCATCAACCAAAGACGTAAGTGATCTTTCCCCTGTCAACTCGCACTAAGGGGGTAAAAATAATTTTGTTTTTTTTTCATTCTGTTTAATCATAAAATTATTATGCGAGACAAAATTGATTATTCCTCTCCAATTTTGAGTGTTACAACGACTTCTGGTGAATTAAATTTTTATATAATTTATTTCAGTGAATAATATACTTCAATTTAGCAAATGATTTCAATACTATTTTAATGTATTGTTACACTTTTTTTGCTATGAATCGGTAAATTCCTTAAGTTAACACCAGAGGTTCATCGTGATCTGAGAAAATTGTGGACCATTTGGCTTATCATCTGAGTCAGCTGAACTCGACTTTATTTAATCTATCACAAGCTTTTCACTTCACCTCTATTTACCTTCATTTAAAGATCAGCCTGTCCTCATTTTAATTCACGTTGATATTATTACTGCTTCTAGACTAGCCAGAAATAACGTCAGGCCCCCATTACAAGTGATCCGAATGTGGTTAGGTGTCTCAACTGCCTCTTGAACGATTGTTTGACAGCGCATTCTGGTCCATCGATGCACACCACTTGATTGCAGTGTGGCTGAACGTGCGTTCTTCCTATCTCAGCTATATACTGTTGTTAGTTGTCCACCAGCTATCAATTCTGTCTATTTTACAACCGGTTTGTATACTCTCAATTGCTGCAACACCAATAAAAGCTTCGATAACCCCTATACTACTTTCGGTATCCTTAATTCACAATTGATTGCCCAATGGGCTCTTTCAATTGTATACCTGGTATTATTTGGTAATAGATTGCCATTGATTATTCATTAGGTTTAGATTTTTACATTTTGAGGACAATTGAGGAATGCCTTAGCCTTGCGGTGTTTTTATAATCCGGTCAGTCAATGGTAAATAAACCAATTAATTTGTTTGAAGTTAAACATTCTGCCTAAAAGGTACCGCATTCCGAAAAGACGAATAGTTTTTTCATAATATTGGATGACTTTGTTAATTTTTTTAGGCCCCTACAGCGTAAAACATCATTTAATGGATCAGAAGTGTATTTTTAACTAAATTATAAAAAAAGGTGAGACGAGCCAAATAAAATCCATTCAAGGTATTTCCGCGTGTATGCAAATTGGTAAAACATCGCCCTCAATTCCTTTTAGACAACAACATCCGGAGTCTCATTCCAATTTGAACTTGTCCGACTTCGTTTCAGCGTCCCGTTGTGGACACTACCATTCAGAAGAAGCTGAAAAGAAGCATAGATGAGATAAAGATAATGAAGCCAGTGGCAATAATCAGTTTTTGTTTAATTAACTTACTCTCTTAGTTGGGCTGTTACCCTTCTGTAGGGCTTCTAATTGATCGATGTAGCAGTTTTCAGTGTAGCCCAGTAGATCAGGCACTAAAGGAGGAAGAATTGACGGATAGAAATGCTTTTCCTGAGTAAATAGCGAAGCGTCAATTAAGATATACTCTAGCACTAAAAGAATATACTCAACCAAAAGGAAATCATTTTGAGGATGCATTGATTCGTTACAAATCGGAAAATAGATGAACAAAATCTTTACTTCTTTAGTAAGATGCTATAGTCTATTCTATATTCAAGAATTTCATGCAAAAAATTTCTTGAAGAATAAATCTAAGAAGCTACACATCGTGATTCGTCTATATTGCACGGATGAAGTAGCTAAAATATAGACCCTTCCAAATTCTACGAATTTCATTTCAAACAAAATGGAAAATCGGCATAGACTTTGACAGGATTCTTTGTATTCGAAAGGTAGAATGAGACGTCTGTCCCCCCCCCCCCGCCCCTCCCCCAGGTACCAGGTACCAAATGCATTTCACTACAGCCGAATTACACTACAGCCGAATTACACCCCTGGCCTAGTTAGTAGTCAATTATCCATAAATGGAGAAGAATGCAAAATGTTTCAACCGCCTTATCTTTCATCATTGGCGCCCCCCTCCCTGGTAACAATCAGCATTACTATCACTCCGTAGGCACACCAACACTTTTCCTTCCGACCCCTCCCTATATTTCTCCCCAACTTAAGCATTTCATTTATTCAATGCACGTTTGTTCAACTCAACTTTTGGGTTTCTCAACCTCAGCAAGAAAATGAACAGTTCTATGGGAGAATACTAAAACTTATTTGGCCTGAGTCCTGGGATCAGAGCTAACCTTCTCTTAATATGCGAGAGATAGGAAACTGGCATAGGCGGATAGGCGTCTTAAGGGAGTAATTTCTGACAATAATTGCATTATGTCAAGTCTATGAAATTGCCATTGACCTGTTAGAGGAATGTTGTCTCTGCTTAAAACAATTTGAATTTGTTCATAAGTACTGGAGTTTTGAAGTTTATGAGTTTGGTCTCACTGCAATTCAATCGATTCAATTTCATTTATCACCATACATTGCTGCATTCAACATTATTTACCATTTCAAGCTCATTACAGTATTTTTTTCCTAAAATGCACAATTTTTTTATCGGAAAGTGATATGGAAAGAAGCATGATAAAAGTATATCTTACTCCCAATATCAACGTTCATCTATACACCTTGCTCTTAAGCACAACATTACTTCCAGTGTGCAATTTAACATATTAATGAATGCGAAGAATTATTTTTTGCATAATAGAAGAGAGTTAACTAAAATCCATTGATTTTCCCAAGATCTAATTTTCTGTTTATTTATCATGAATTATGTATCCTATTTTTAAGACAGAATCCTAACAAATCAAAATTATTGAAAATCCAATCTCCTAAATTCATTAATTCCAAATGATATTTTTTTTAAGGAATTGAGCTTTTGACGTGAAGTTGAATCAAAAGATAACTTTATTTTTTTAGATTATCAATAGTGTTATGATCTTTCTAGGAAAATTAACTGATTTTTATTACCAAATTCTTCATACTCAAGATATGAACAGGATTAAAATAGGTAATATTATTAGAGATGTTGATTTATAACTGTACTCAACACATCGGAGAAATGATTCCATCTTGAGAATAATTCCTTATAGGCGTTCTAACCGCATACAATTGTAAGAAGTACTTTTATCGGGTTCCTCATTGCCATCATTACAAACTAGCCACTAAAGCACATGCAGTTTAATGGCCAAAAGATCCATCTAAAGGGGGGCATTGATTAAAATTGTCAGTCGCTCGAGGTTGGAGATGACCTTCTAATAAGGAAATAAGTATGAACTGTCCGACATTCCATCTAAACTTTTGGCTAGGAAATAGTGTTCATATGGAGCCAAGCATTCCAGAACCATTGGTTCAATTATTATCTCTTCCCAAACTACCATTGCATGTAGTGGCGATCCTTATAGAGTATTATTGAACATGAAGATGGTTTCTAAAACATAAAGCTTAAACTCCAACAACAAAAGTAGTAATTGACAATTTTTTCCCTTGGCAAAAAAACATGGATCGTACAGGAAATTGGAAATTTAAACAAACCAGAATGTTTGTCCGTCCCACCCACGCAGTCGCCATACTGTTGTCCATTAAAAGAAGCAGAGTTATACGAAGGCAAAAAGTATTGACTTCTAGAGGTAGCTCTCTGAATAGAGTCACTGTGATAACTGGGAAGCTGGTTCATCCTCCTATTTGATGTGGATGGTCTATTTAACGATTCTCCAAAACTCCGCCTCTTCACTAGACCTCCTCGCTGGTGCGCAGACGGTTTGACAAACTTCTTCTCATATCTACTTGGCACCAATCGCGTATATTTCGCTTTGCTGGATAATGTGTTTTGACTATTGACTGGTCTCTTTAAAAATTGAAAAAAAAAATAATATATTTTTTGGCAAGTGAATTGAATAGACCAGTTAAAGATTTTTTCAACAGACGACACAGAACACATTCTAGGCTATTTAAAAATTTAAGGCAGTAACAATAGGGAGGTAGTTGGATGATCATTTGCGTATTTATTTAAATCAGGGGGAGGGGGAGAGAATTTGAATAAGAATATGCATTAATATCATGAACAAAATGCCAGCATTTTAATGCTATAATCATGCAACAAATTTACAACGAGGGATGAGTTGTGAAGGGAATGGAAAAATAAAAAAAGCCCAAATCAAAATATTGAAATCTATAAAAAAATATAATACAATTTTAATCAAAACAAATAAAATAATCGTAAACTTACGTCATTGTGTGTGTAGGTTTTTAAATTTAGTGTCTATTTTAAACTGATTGAAAGAATGCATTTAATGAAGAAAACTAGAAAACAAAGCAACCCCATGTTTTATCTCTTACTTCGAATGGGGAGTAATTCCGACATATTCTAATGTGAAATTTATGGAATTAGACTATTCAAAGGACTCCCGTTAGTATTAAAAGTATGCTACTCAAACATATAAAGTGGCACAAGAGGTTATCTGAGATTACGGACTCAAAAAATAATGATGATTTAAATCGATGGAAATCCAATAACAAGTTTCTCTCAGGCCAATTGGAGACCTTTACTGACTGTGGACTATTACTGATAAAAAATAGTTCCTATCTGTAATCATTCGAAGCAGGTACAGTTGACGAGGATTAATTAGAATTTTCTTTGAATATGAACTCACCACCACAGAAGTAAGAGGCGATTGAAATCCAGGCAAGAGCGTGTGGTGAACTTGCTGATAATTTGGATCATTTGTATAAAACGTCGGCACGTATGTTGGTTGATTGACACCATCAGACAGATTATCTCCAATCCTTACATATCCATAAACTGGATTTGATTGAGCCGTCTCGCCCACTAGAAGCGGATCAGGTGTATAAAAATGATCTCCATAGGCATGCCTATGATTCGGATCGTCGCAACAGTACTGACTGCCGTATTTGGATCCATCATGACAGGTCTTTTCCACTGGAATGAGGCGGGGCTTCGAAAGAGGCATCACTGGTGCAGTTCCGCCGTGTGTTTGCTTCTTCCTTATTATATAGATAATGACGACGACATTGATTACTATCACAACTCCTCCAATAACACAAGCTGCAACGATTATGAAAAGGGAATTCGACCGAGTGTAGCCAACGGCTTTTATGGTGTGGTAGGCATTGAAGTGATCCACATCATCAGAAGCTAAATCGAAGACTGACATCTCATCAGGTGTAAAGACAAGAGGGGTTCAAGTCTTAACCCCCCAATAACTTACCATGACCAGTTCTCGCTTGGATTGTTTTTGAATACTTTGTTTCACCGTATTCGTCATTTCGTGACCTAACGGCCACTTCATATTGTGTATTCTGATTTAGCCCTAAAAGGGAGACGAACTTATCACCATTTGGCGTTGGAGAGTGTTTGCTTTTTGAAAACGCCGGAAAAGAGAGTACTTACCGATGATTGTAAACGAAGCATCGCCAGCATCTTCAACTTCAGCTACGTCCGCATACTTGTATTGATCCTGAGGATTATCTGATTTCCAGCGGACCTGCAGAGCAGAAATACCAATGTTTATAGGTAGGAGAATCAAGGCACATATTTATTAATTGGGCTTAATAAAACTTGGAGCCTAATAATTCACCAACACTGGAGTCGAAAATCACAATGTATTAAAAAAAGGCATTCTTAATACTTATCTCTAGCAAAATTGACTTTTCATCCGTCGGACTAGCGCCAATCGATGATCACGGAGCACTTATTGAAAAGATCCGAACCTACGGTCGTATTCATCAAAGTCCGCAACGAAAAACCTATTGCTTATCTATTAATTCTCCTACAGTAGACCTTAACTTCACCAATCCCTTCAAAACAAATTTAATATCTTCCACGGTCATCATGAAGGTACACTTATTTCGGGGGTAATATTTATTTACCATTAAATTAACCATGCGATTTTATCTAAGGTCAGTTTTGGGTTTATTTATTGGGAAATTTTATCACTACTTGAGGATTTAGATATTTTAAACGCTTAGGGCTTCGCTTCAAAATTTTTTTGAAAAAAAAATGCAATTTAATTGAGTAATCATTATCGAGGAATGCAAAAAAGTCCACCACTAGTTGATTGCTTAGACCTTCATTTCCACAAAAGCATGACATCGTTTGCAATGAAAGTAATGAAATTAAGACAGACAAACTGAGATAATTCTATAGTCTGGTGTAGACCTCACATAAAAGCTGCCATGTGATATAAATAAATATTGACCGGACAACCAGATTGCAGCCTACAACTACTTTTAGGCCATTCCCTCACCCCCCCCCCTCCCCTTCCTCCAGGGTCAAGATACTAACAGTAAAAAATCTGCCAAGATTGTGCCCCACTTCTCCATGTCAGCCAAATTGGCAGCCCCTATGTACTCAAAAGTGGGGTGTGCGATAGACTTACCTCCACGTGGTGCACCCTGGGCAACGTATACTCATACGGCAAAAAAGTCTATTAACCGGCAGTTGACTTCTCACTTCAAGCTACCATCACCCCACTGTATGTCATATTCAACCACTTTCACAGTACTCACCTCACCCTTTTTCTACCTTTGTGTCCGTCTGTCTCTTTTACGTCTGTGAATCATTATTCTGTCCCCCCGTTGGACTTTTTGCCACTTTGATGTTCCTCTTCCTTTCTGTGAAGCCCGAAGTCAACTAAAGGGCTAATGATACCTATCACAACGCCTGCCATTTGAAAAAAATAAATAAATGTACTCAAAAGTAACAAAAATTAAGAGTATTGATAAAAGCTTTTATTAAAATCGCCCTGGTTTAAATAAATACGTGAATGATTATCCGAATACCTCATTATTGCTGTTGCCTTAGAATGTCATCCCAATTGCGTGTAGTAAAAAAAATTTAACTGTTTATCCACTTAAGGTACGCTAAAAGCTATGTTCGAGGAGGTGTGTTCCGCTTGCTTCCAACTGACTCTTATACAGACAGAAAATAAAATTTGAACTAATTTGAGAGGCCGATGTGAGCATAATGAGTGATAATTGAGATAGCATTACTATTGTATTAAAATTACTGTTCTCACATTAATTGCATGATATAGAAAGAAATGTTTTCGTTTGCATTTTGTGTGCAATTACTGTGGGGAACGAGGGTTGAGCGATCGACTTGCCCCGCGTGGTGCACCCTGGGCAGTTGACTTCAAACTACCATAACCCCACTGTATGTCATATTCGACCACTTTCACAGTACTCGCCTCACCTAACTTCTTTCTCGACCTCTGTGCCTGTCTGTCTGTCTCTTTTACATCTGTGAATCACTCCTCTGTCCCCCTCCCCCCTCCGGACTGTGAAGCCCGAAGTCAACTAAAGGGCCAGTGATAACTATCATAAAGCCTGCCATTTGATATAAATAAACTTTTAGGAACGGAATGGGGTATAACCTCCGAGGGATTAGTAAAAACTGACATCAAACTTGTTTTTTTTAAAGTCATAACATTAGAGGTTCCTTTATTCTTGTTAACAAATTCTGTAAATACGCTGGATTTATAAATGTAACAAAATATGAGCCATTTCGCTTAATTATGTCGTCACCGAATGCGTTTCAGAACATTGCAAATCCCCTCCCACTCTCCACCAATATCCTCACCACCCCCTACCCCCCCCCCCCCCCCCCACCCTCCCCCCCCCCCCCCACCTTTC